ATATATGCACCAACAACCAGAGCCAAGGAAGAGGATATAGAAGATTTTTACCAACTTTTACAATCAGAGATTGATCGAACATGCAATCAAGATGCATTGATAATAATGGGTGACTGGAATGCAAAAGTTGGGAGCAGAGAAGAAGATTCAGTAGTGGAAAACATGGACTCGGTGACAGAAATGGAGCTGGAGAGAGAATGATTGAATTTTGTACAATCAATGACTTTTTTTTTTTTACAATCAATGACTTATTCATAGCAAATACGTTTTTGAAGAGACACAAACTCAGGTTATATACTTGGATTTCACCTGATGGTATGCATAGGAATCAGATTGATTATAGCTGTGGAAAGGACCGCTGGAGAAGCTCAATATCAGCTGTGAAAACTAGGCCAGGAGCTGATTGTGGAAGAGATCAGATGCATAGGAAGTGGTTAAAAATATCATTGCTTGGATAAGGCACTTTAGTCTTTAACCTGACACCCTTGCTCTTTAACATTTTGTAGATAATTCTTTATAGATCTTCCAAGTGCAGTACCTAGGAAAGGTGGAGGGTCAGCGAGTGAGAGGAAGACCCTCAACAAGATGTGTTGGCATAGTGACTGCAGCAAGTGTGTCAGAAATGATGAGGATGGCACAGGGGAGGATGGGATTCAGATTTGTTGTTCATAGGGTCACTGTGAGTCATACCTGACTTGACAGCACCTAACAATAGCATTACAATGAGTGTTGATGGTGGATCTAAGTAAAGTCAAGTCATTGGCAGTTTCCATCTTTCCTCCATCTACCATGTTGTCTAGTAATATTTGGAGAGGATTTTTGTTTTCTTGACATTGAGATGTAATTCATACTGTTGTCATTAGAGCAACTTGCAAACACACATGTGACGTTTCCCCTTTCCTTGGGCATGCTGAGAACTTGACATATCTGGAATGTTTGGTCTGCTACACATTACACTTTTTATTTTCTTCTTTTAATAATTTTAATGAACATTTACAGAGATTTTAGATTTCTATTCATTCATTGTTGCACCACATTATACATTTTCTGGATCACATCGGTAATCATTTCTTCATGGCCTTGTTTATTCCAGTCCATCTTCAAACATTTAACACATTTTATTGAGATATAGTCCACATACCATACAGTTCACCCATTAAAGTATTCAGTGATTATTAGATATTCACAGCTCTGTAACCATCAATGCTAACTCATTTTAAAACATTTCCATTACCCTAAAAAGAAACCCTCTACTCATTAGCAGTCACAGCCCTCCCTCCTCTCCACTCGGCCCTAGGCCACCACTAATTTTCTGTCTCTTTGACCTTTGAAAAACAAAAGTTAGTAAGAATTCATAAGAGTTAATACCGATTAGGAATACTCTAAATTTTTTTTTTCTGTCTTTGTTATAGGATTTTGTCAGATATCTCGGCTTTTTCTCTTTTGGTAGCAGAAACTGATATTTTTTCTATTAAAAGAATTATACTGAGATAATATATATTCTTTTCTAACAGGTAATTAACTTAGGCAAACCTCTCAAGAACCTTGGCACGGCAACTTTGAATATTCAGTGGCCAAAAGAAATTAGCAATGGCAAATGGCTGCTTTATTTGGTAAAAGTGGAATCCAAAGGATTGGACAAAGTAACCTGTGAGCCGGAAAATGAAATAAACCTCTTAAAGCTAAAGGTACGAGGGTAGATTTAACCGGTGTCTCCACAGATAAAAATAAGAGAAGATAACTGATGAGGCGTAGAACTGTCCTTGCCCTTGGGAAATTGGTATTCTGGCGTGCTGACTTTTTCTTCAGTATTGACCTTTTCCCTATGATAGTTAAATGATCACCTCAAATTGAGAAATTCCAGCTGGTTAGTGACCATTCTGGCACATAAGACAGAGTCTCTTATTCAAGCCGGTGACAAGTTTTATGGTCAGTAGCTGTTCAGTATAACAAAAACATTCCTTTGAGAAAATGTGGGTATCATTCAAGCCCGTCACAGTAAAGCAAATTTCAAATAAGCAAGTCACATAGCTTTCTTGGTTTTCTAGGGAGCTCTCTCTGGTGGCCTAGTAGGTAAGGAGTTACCTTTCTAATGCAAGCGCACAGTTTGAATCCACCAGCTGTTCTACAGGAGAAAGAGGGGTGATCTCTTCCCATGGGATATACAGCCTCTAAAACCTGCTGGACCATCAGCCGTGAGTCACTTCTGACTGGAGAGAACATGTCTCACGTGGCATAGGGCTCAGGGAATTGCGTGTTTAACTCAAAGGCAGATATGAACCTACCACTGGTCCACTCTTCCCTCACCAGATTTACCTGTCAGAGGATCAATTTGAATTTTGAATTTGAGTTTACATGAAAGTGAGGTTTACTCTATACTCTCTTAAGTGTTCATTAGCAATTTAAAAAGTTTGGAATGTATTGAGAATTACCAAAATAAAATTACATACACAGTGAAGACATGTTTTCTGCAAATAATGCTCACAGACTTACTCCACACAAGGTTGCTACACACTTTTCGATTTGTAAAAAACGCCCAATTGGTGAAGGACAGTAAAGCAATGCACAATACAATGAGATGTGCCTGTATAGGAGGAGGACTGCGTGTGGTCCTGATGGGGGAGCAGGTGTGAGCGCCCTCTTTTAAACTCCTCATTGGCTGTGAATTGCACGAACCAAAACTGTGTTGCATTTATTCACCATAAGAATAACCAATAAAACCAAACATATTACAAAGGGTCTTGGTTCCTTAGCAAATGACCTTAAAGTGTATCTTACTCTTTAAAAAGTAAATAGTTGTTGATTACTCAGAGTTTCCAGCACTCTACTAAGCATTTTGTCTACATTTTTAAATTTCATTCTTTAGCTAGTCTTCTGAAGTAAGAACTTTCATTATGCCAACCAGCCATTTCACAGATGAGGAAATTACCATTCAGAGAGAGTAAAAAACTTGCTCACAGTCACTGGACAATAAAGAGACAAACTGCACATTCAAGCTCTGCTCCCCAGTTTCAAAGCCAAACTCTTACATCCACTCCCCAACGCCCTGCTCCAGTCTATACCACTCCACCCCGACGAGTGTCATTGCTTGTTCCCCCACCGGCTTGATGAAGTCATGCTTTATCACTGCATATCTGTTTTCAATTCTAAGACTAGTTGTCCATAGTTGGTAACGTATACATAATTTTTTACTCACCAACTTTAAAACAAAAAGCCCTAGATGGTCCATTATTCTCACTGGTTTATTATAGGGGGAAATGCCATTTTAAAACTTTTCATAGGGCTGAAATGTCAGTATTTTACTTTGACCAAGTCCTGTGCTAGGTTTTGGGGGTTTTGCATCTTCTCTTCGTGTTTCTCAATGACACTGACTCATTCAAGACGTGCTGACAGCCTCCTATGGTGTGTACCTTAGGTAGAGGGCGGGCTGGAGGGGTAAGAGTTGGTCCTTTGTAAGGATGCTTTCAGTTGGGTGGGGAGATAGAGGACCAGAGAACACCTTTGTTTTTTTCTGCGTTGTAAGGACAGTTGGAATGAGTTGCCTCCATAAACTGGACATTTAGGTTGGTAAGGGCAAATGCTAGCCTCCCACTGCAGTTCTCTCTGCCTTTGGTGCCAGGAGAGCAGCTAATAGTAATTGTTAGTTATGTGCACAGTAATGACCAAAAAGTAAAGTTGGAACTGTTTCTCATCTGATTGTTCTCAGGAATCTCACAACTCAAGAAGGAAACGAGAAATTGCCGAAAAGCAGATAGATGATAGCAGGAAGTTCTCTTTGTTTGCTGAAAGGAAGTATCAGACCCTTGTAAGTATTTTCAGGAGGGGTGAAGCTTTGGCAGAGGGTCTGAGAGACGGTCATGCTTGGGAGTGCTGCATTTGAACGACCGCTCATTCCGTTCCCTCCAGAACTGCAGCGTGAACGTGAACTGTGTGAACGTAAGGTGCCCACTGCGAGGGCTGGACAGCAAGGCCTCTGTGTTGCTGCGCTCGAGGTTGTGGAACGGCACGTTTCTGGAGGTGAGCCTCTGGCCTGCCTCTCCAGGTCCTTGACCACCTGCTAAGACGTTCCTCACGCCTCTGATGCATCCACTTTGTCTCTGAACAGGAATATTCCAAGATGAACTACTTGGACATCCTTGTGCGGGCTTCCATTGATGTCACTGCTGCCACAGACAATATCAAGCTGCCAAATGCAGGCACTCAGGTGAGGGAGACCACAGGCCACGCTGCCATGGCTGCTCCTTAGTTAGCTCCATTAAGGGAAAGTGCGGGTAATGCCTTGAAGTGCTGCTTTCCAGGTAGCTGCCAAACTAAGATAGACTAGGGTGAAAAGGCTGGTGATCTTCCAAAATCAGCCGGTGAAGACCCAGTAGATCATCTCAAGGGTCCAGTCCTATGGGGCATGCAGTTGCTGTGAATCTGGGAGCTGACTTGACAGTGACAATAACACCAAGCCAAGGTGTATTTTAATGGAATCGTTAGAAACAAGTAAACAAAACTAGGGACCTCCGTTCTTCAGATAGCATAGGGTAGGCTTGAGAGCTATTGGCTCAATGAAGAAGTGGAGACACCTTCCAGAGGCTCCATGTGTTAGAGGGCCCCTGCTGTTGGAGTTTGGAAAAAAGATTGGCAGGATCCTCCCGTGAGGTTTACAGCCTCTGGAAACCCACTGGAGCGTCAGCTGAGTTGTTTTTTACTTGATGACACATAGTAGCAACTGCTCAGCTATTACTGAAGTACAGTGCCCAAGTGATGTTAACTTCATTGTATCACGGGGTAGCCCATGCCATGCTTAACCATGTGCGGTTATTAGAAACGATCTTTTATATATGAATCCCTTTTTATACCCCAGCTGTGGGATGTACACATATCGGTCCCTGATTGTGCCCCGCAGGATGAGTACAAAGCAAATGACATTCCTCTGTCATGTAACAATCGTTCGAATGACTGAAGGAAACTGTAAGGCCATCTTGAACAAGTCTGTTTTATTCTCTTGGGAGCTCTTCGGTTAAATGAAGCACAACCGAACTTGTTCCTGGCCTCTTTCCATCCTGGGCTTGTCCTTTGGGCAGGCTCCTGGTTCATACGTGATTCCCAGTCCTGAGCTGGGGCCCAGTTCACCTTACCCTGAGACCATTCCCCTCCACCATCTCAGCACCACACTTCCGACAGCTCAGCTGAAATTGATTCTAAATGTTTCCTGGAGACTGTTTGGTTTTCTAGCAGCTGCTGTTTTTGTATTTCTATTCTACTGAAACTTCCAAGTGTCTTTCATCAGAACTTGTGGTAAAATTGTGTTTCCCATCTCCTGTCCTAGAGCAAGTTTTAAAAATCAAAATATATGAAATACCTCTTTAATGTAACTTTGACCCAGAGTTTCCATTTACAAAGTAATTTTGAATCATGATTATTTGCTCTACTTACTACATTTTCTCTCACCCTTATAAACCTTTATAAAACTAGAAAGCCATCAATGTCTTCATCTAAACAATTAACAAAAGATTAGCTAGAACTAGGAAAGAACTCTGTGGTCATCTACCAGTGAGAGATTCCTGGCGGGGTTTAGGTCCCACAGGGCTATGTATCAAGATGACTTCATATCGCAAGAGACATCATGGATGGAAATGTTTTTCAAAGAGATTGATTGGAGGACGGAGGACTGACAATTACTGCTCTGAAGACAACACTGATATACTTTTAGACGTGTTTTTTTTTACCTTTTTTTTTATTATACTAGTTCATTTACAAAATTCAGAATGCATTTCTTTTTCCAAACTAGATTCTTCCAATTTCCTACACCGCCCACCCATCAAATTGTACAACCCCATGATTAGTCCCCCTCCTCAGTAATGGTTTTATACAGTATTCTGGATCTTTTTTTACTTGTCATTTAACCACCAGCTTGGGTAGCTGGTGTCCAGTCTAATGGAATGTTCTCTTGCTCATGCCATGTTCTTAAGACTAGTGGTAAGGTGTTGTGATGCCAGCCCAACTCCTGGTCGATTCAGCCAACAGAAGTTTGAATCCTCAAGCTGCCCTGTGGGAGAAAGATGATTCTCCTGTGTGATTTACAGTCTCTGAAAAACACACTAGAGTCAGTGATGAGTCCATTATAATTCTGCGGCACATAACAGTAAAAATTAAGAGTCTTTGCTGTGATCCTACTTTCTTTAACAGTTAGTAGATTTGTGAGTAGATTACTGATCTCTTATTTCAAGAATCTGTTTCTTTTAAAAAAATGAGACTTTGGCTTATCTCTAGCCTTCTGATAATTCTTGTGTTCTGAGTATCTGATATGATACGGAGTCCAAGAATCACATTTTCCTGTTTTCCTATTACCTGTTCTTTCCAGTCCAGATCAGATTCTTTAGGGAGAGAAGAAAAAAGAATGATTCTGCTTGTTGTTTGGTGTTTCTCTCACAAATTCTTCCCATTGCTTTTACTTTAATCTTGGTTTGAGAAAAAGTTCTATTTGTTGTGTGTTCATTTTGCAATAGAGCACCTTTAATTCAAGAGACTACAACCAGGTCAGAGAGGGCAGAAATCACCTCATTTAGCCAGGTGAGATGGCTTAGCACCAGTCAAGTTGTGTTGTTGTTAGATGCCATTGAATCGGGTCCAACTCATAGCAATCTTATGAACAACAGATCTGCACTCTGTCCTATCATGTGCTGTGTGCGCAGTCTCGGACACACTCAAACCCATTGTTGCAGGAGGGTCTTTTTTTCTTCTACCCTCCACCTTGATGTTCCTTTCTAAGGAATAGCCTGTCCTTAGTATCATGCTCGAGGATGTGATACAAAGTCTCATCATCTCTTCCTCCAAGGAGCATGTTGGCTGCACCTTCTCTAAGACTCGCCTGTCTGTTCTTTTGGCAGTTCATGAGATTATCAGTACTCTTCTCTAACACCATATTCCAAAGGCATCAATCCTTCTTCTGTCATCCTTATCCATTGTCCAGCTCTTAAGTGCATAGCAATTGATTGAAAGACCTGACTCAGGCATACCTTACTGATTAAACTGACATCATTGTTCCTCAGTACTTTGGAGAGGTGCCTGGCTGCAAACTCTCCAGGTGTAATACTTTTCCTGATCTCTCCTGACTCCTGGTACCAAGGATGTTGATTGTGGATGCAAGTAAGATGAAGTCACTGACTTCATCAGTTGAATTAAATCAATCCAAATAACAAAGGTTTGTTAAAGAAACATGGTGTGCTTTCCTTGTGCTGGCTGCTAAAGAGTCAAAGTAGAATAAAATATCGTGTCAGTGGTTAAGGATGTCAAAGTCTGGAGTTTGGTGAACCAGGCTGGTATTATTAGATTAAGCCAAGAAAAGCTATTATTTACTGATTGTTTTATATACCCTAACTTTATTTCTAAAGTAGTAAAGAATCCTGGTAGATAGAAAAGAAAACATGGTAGGTAAAAATAAGCACATCATTCTTGAGAGGGATGAGATTTTTTTTTCACTTTAAATTCAAAGAACTTGAAATAGGGATATTTTTATAAAATGATTTCTTCTATAAAGAACACTCACCAAGAGTATATTTAATAGTTTGTAAAATATAGGAAAATCTCTTCATATAGTGATTTCTCATACTTATGTTCAATGAAAGTGGAGAGTATTATGTTACAGGATAATTTGAGGCTAGTACTTGGCAGTGGTAATCAAATGTCTTCTAAGCACTGCTCGGTGGTGGTCTAATTCACTGCAGCAGCCTCTCTCCTCTTCCAGGGAACATGATAGGTGAGGTTCATGTGCACGAGGCATCTGCATGGAAATGATTAGATTTTTATGGAAAACACTTTTTAATAGCTTTTTTTTAGCTATGCAAATTGTTGCAGTCATTTCTAATCATCTTAATGATTAGAAGTTTCTCAATCTTTATAATTATTTTTTATTAATTTTTCTCATTACCTTTTATCGTCAGTGACAGTTGTTGTGAGAAAGAGCTCCCCAGTCTCCACATTTCATAGTTGTTCTCCCTTTACTTGATTCTAAGTCCATTTCTACCTTACCCCAGTCCCAGCTGTAGAATAATTATGATGAAGAAAAAAAAATCCCACAAAAACTTGAGTTGACAATTTAAGAAAATACAGTAACAGCTCCTGCCCTCCAGGACCACGCCCTGACCTTGTACACAGGCTTGCGGACTCCCCTGCCCTTTAATTGTGTAGCCCAGCCTCTTAGGAATGGAAGGGCTTCATTCTTTGGATCCTCAACTAGCTGGGGCTGGGGTGTTTTTTTTTGGGGGGGGGGGCGCAGTTTGTTTGTTTAGTCTCTAAAATGTTCCTATCTAGAGATCTGGTGGCCTAGTGGCAGGAAGTTGCACTGCAATCACAGAGGTGGTGGTGGTGGTTGTTATGTGCCATCAAGTCGCTTGCGACTCGTGACCCTGTGTACAACAGCCCTAAATTCTGCTCTGTCCTGAGCCAATCTCACTGTCTCCGACACACCCATCCTGATTACCCCAGTCACTGAATCAATCCACCTCATTGAGGGTCTTCCTGTCCTGCGCTATCCCTCCACCCTCCCAAGCATGATGTCCCTCTCCAAGGACTGGTCTCTCCTTGAAACATGTCCAAAGTATGTCAGACAAAGCTTCAGAATCCTTGCATCCAAGGAGCAGCTAGTTTAACCCTCTCCAGGATGAACCTCTTTGTTTTCTTAGCAGTCCATGGTACATTCAATACTCTTCTCCAGCACCACAGCTCAAAGGCATCCTTCTATCATCCCTAGTCATTGTCCAACTCTCTGATGCGTAACAACTGATTGCAAATCCTGTATCAGGCTCACCTTAGGCTCCAGAGTGACACCATTGCTCTTCAGCACTTTGGAGAGGTCCATGAATGTAGGAAAATTAGATATTATTAAAGAAGAAATGGAACGCATAAATATTGACATACTGGGTATTGGTGAGATGAGATTGACTGGCATGGGGCATTTTTAATCGGATCATCATAAGATATATTACTCCAGAGATGAAAAGGTGAGGAAAAAGAGGGTTTCTTTCATAGTTAAAAAAGTCATTTCTAGATCCATCTTGAAATACAATATTGTGAAGTGACAGGATAATATTCATACCCATACAAGGAAGTCCAGTGAATACCACTATCATTCAGATATATGCACCAACAACCAGAGCCAAAGAAGAGGAAATAGAAAATTTCTACCAACTTTTTACAGTTGAAGACCACTCAAACATGCAGTCAAGATGCATTAATAATAATGGGTGACTGGAATGCAAAGGTTGGGAACAGAGAAGAATCAGTAGTTGGAATCCCAGAGGTACGTTGTTCAAATCTACCAGATGCTCTGCTGGAGAAGGAGAGACGATCTTCTCCTGTACCTGTCACATCTGATTTGACGGTACACACAAAAAAAAAATTTTTTTAAATAAATAAATAAAATTTTCCTATCTCTCATTTTAATGATGGCCAGATTCAAGGCTAGCATTCTCAATGGCTCCCCACCCAACACTAGCTGCAAATCCAAAATTTTATTATTTCAGCCCCTGTGCTATTGGTTTGAAGCCATTTATGAGAATCATTTTTCCCATATTGTATACTGTTGAGTAGGAACTAACCCGTAGCTGACCCTGTGTTGCGTTTTCAGAGGCAGTTGATCACATGGGAGGAGACTGCCCATCCTTCTCCTGTGGAGCAGCTAGTAGATTCCAACTGCGTGTCTTCAAGATTGCAGCGCAGCTTCTTGCCACTAGGCCACAGGAGCTCCCTTCATTTTCCCGTTATGATCAGCTATTTTAAGATTCTGTTACGAGATGTAATCATATTAACTCTTTCCATGGACCCCTCTCGACTCTCAACTTCTAGATTTACCAGAACTTAATCTGGTGGGACTTGGCTCCTGACAGAATGATTGGCAGTTTGGACACACTCAGCAGTTCTTTGGGAGAGAAACTCAGCAGTCTGCTTCTATAAAGATTCACCTCTCAAAAACTCCGTCATCAAGTCAAGACCAACTCACTGTTGACCCTCTGGCAGGTTTTCAGAGACTGTAAATCATATGGAAAGAGAGTGCCCATTTTTCTTTTGAGGAGCAGCTTGTGGATTTGAACTGCCTGCCTCTGGAATGGTAGCACAACTCCTTACCCACTAGGCCTCCAGAGCTCCAAAAAGATTAGAGTGTAGAAAACCCCATGAGGAAGATCTTCTCTATCACATGGCATTACTACAAGTTGAAAATGACCCAGTGGGCACCCAACAATAGCAATATTCATGAAAACGGAATTTCTGAGAAGTATAAACAGCTTAACTGAAAAGTTAAACTATAAAACTAAAAGTTCAACTATATCCATAGATACCTTGGGGTGGGGGGTGGGGGAAGCTTTGGACATCTAATTCTAAAACAATCATCCACTGAAAATCCTATGGAACGCAGTTCTACTGTGACACATAGGGGTCCCGGGAGTCTGAAATGACTCAATGGCAATTGGTTTACTATAAATGAGTGTGTCCCTTCCAGGTGGTCACCTTCCCCCAGGGACACACAATATAATACATCCTTGTGCTAGTTATTATTAGGGAAACAGATGAATAAGATTCTAAAACCCCAACACCATCAGGTCATTTCTGATCATGATGGCTTTCCATTGGGTTCTCGGGCTTTGAATATTTATGGGAGGTCACTGCCTGTCTTTCTCCCTCAGTATGTCTGGTGAATTTGAACTGCCTACCTTTTGACTCAATGGCAGATAACAACAAAAACAGCTTTTAGACAGTAGCATAATAGGGTACTCACAATGCCACTAGGGCTTCTCAGATGAGATGCAACATAGACTAATTGAATTATCTTTTTTTTTTTTTTAAGAGTAGTCCATTCCCAGTTACAGAAGATAAACAACCATATTATTTCTTCAGTGCTCTCTCACAAGTCCTTCCTTTCTTCATTGATGGATGCCACTGTGCTAAAACCCATAATCTAAAAGAAAGGTGGTTTTAGCTTAAAGCTGGGACACCTGTGGGGGAGGGGAAAGGCCACCTTGAGGCTGAGTAGTTGGAGGAAACTTCATTTAGATCATAACAGGAAATAGGGTGGGTAATAAATGTGTGTGCTGTCTGTTAGAACTCGTGTGAAAACACAGAACCCCAAACCCACCAGTGTAAGACTCCATTCTGACTCACAGTGTCCCTCTGGCAGGTTTCCAAGGCTGTAAATCTTTACGAGAGGAGATGACCTAGCTTTCTCCCACAGAGCAGCTGGTGTGTTAACACACTGCCCCACCAGGGCTTTTTGTAGGAAGCTAAAAACTCTAAATATCCATTTCTGCCTATTAAATATTGAAAGAAAAACAATTTCTTCTAGGTCAAATGAAGCTAATAACCATTTTCTAATAGCATAGGAAAGAGAAGTACTTTAATGGAAAGGTTTAAAAATAGAACCATAGTTTGCATAGTCTAGAAGCAAAAAAGCACAGTGTAGGAGAGAAGCATTTTTAGGCAGCATCCAGAGTTAAATACTTCTCTAGAAACCCTTCTCAGAATCTACATGCTCCCTCTAGAGATTTGGTGGTCTAGTAGGTAAGGAGTTAATGCTGCCAACCCAGAGGTAGGTGGTTAGAACTCACCAGCTGCTTCATGAGAAAGAGGCACTCTCCTTCCGTGCAGTTTACAGCTTCTGAAAACCTGATGAAGGGTCAGCTGTGACCTTTGGCTTGACCACAGTGAGTGACTGAGTGACTTAGCCCCTTGCTTGAGAAATATCAGAACCCTTGAAGCAGGGAGACTCCCTAGTCAGTGTGGTGTCCAGAATCATCTTTATTGTGAGGTCTTTTATGTGCTTCAAAAAATGGTCTCCTGGCATCACAAAAGTTCATGTGGATTCTTGTAAATGTTTGTAACTGAGTTGTTGTGAACCACCATAAGCAATTTGTTTGTTTTATAATAGACATGATTTCTGTTAAATTGCTAACTATCAAATGTTTAAAGCTTATGCTTCCCATTAGTTGGAGCATTAGTTCTAAGTCTGCCTCTGACTGAATCCAGGGTTTGGCTTACTCATACAGATGGTGTTGCGATAGCACCATTTCCAGAAATGTTACTGTTTATGAGGCTTCTTAGTCCTTTGTCCTAAGCAAAAGTTCCCCCTCTATGCTTATATTTCACAACGTCTCAAAAGCTAGATGAAGGGTGTAGGCTGATTGAACATTCACTAGCCCTTTTGTTTCCATTAAAGAAACCTAAAAGGAAATATGATATGTCTCAAAAAGATACCGGGTAATGTGGATTAAACAGGATTGACACTATCTTGATAATTGGCACTGGGTGATGAATGCATTACAGTTTACTGGTCTTTTTTGTTGATAACACATTTTTTAAAGATAACAGGTTACAAAACAACTATGAAATATCATCTCACCCAGCAACAATAGCAAAGTTCAGCAGGGCAGCAAACAACAAATGCTGACAAGGTTGTGAAGAGATTGGAACTCTTATTCACTTCTGGTGGGAATGTAAAAGAATGTATAGAAGGCAGTCTGGTGCTTTCTCAAAGAATTAGAAATAGAAATACCATTTGACCCAGCAGTCCTACTACTGCGAATATATACTAAAGAAACCGGAGCCCTGACTCAAACAAATGTACATGCATCCACGGTTATTGTTGTGTTATTCACAATCGCAAAGAGATGGAAACAACTCAAGTGCCCATCAACAAATGAATGGATAGGAAAAACTACCGTACATTCATACAATGGAATATTACACAACATTGAAAAACAGTGAAAACATGGGGGAGCCTGAAGGACATTATGCTGAGTGAAATAGCTCCATCACAAAAGGATGAATACTGCATAATAACACTGCTATTACAGGACAAACATAGCAGTGTGGGGAGAGAATAAAAAAGGAGCGGCTAGATAATAAGCACTGCAATAGAACACATGAAGGGAAGAACTAGGGGGAAGGAAAATGTCATTAGGTGTTATCTGTATGGCAACAATCTGGGTAAGGGGTGCATTGCAGGGTAGGTTGGGGGAGGGGAATAAAATGTTCAACAATGAAAAAATAATATTCTTTTTTAAAATGTCATCTCATCTATCCATAGTTTGCATTGTCCAAAATGTGCTTGGAATCAGAAGTAGCACTTGAAACTCCTGATAGTGCCTTTCTCCCCAACTTATGGTAACAGTGCTTGTGTTTATGCCTTACAGGTTCGTGTGACTGTATTTCCCTCCAAGACTGTAGCTCAGTACTCAGGAGTGCCTTGGTGGGTCATCCTGGTGGCTATTCTTGCAGGGATTTTGTTGCTTGCCCTATTAGTGTTTTTATTATGGAAGGTGAGTCACAGCTGACGTTTGAGTTTCATGTTAAAACAAATTTCATGTCTTTAAAAATATTTTTCTTCTAATTTCCCCCATTACTTCCTTTTACCCTGATATTTCATTATGAAATTTCCAACATAAAATTTGAAAGGAATCACTTAACACTGATGTATCTGCCTACCTAGTACTTTGTTTTCCAAAGCACCTTATTTGGACATGGTTTGAAGTTGCTTAAATGCATAGATTTTAGTGTGCTTTGTCTGTTTTTCATTTGTTGGGCAAATAATGCTGTATCAAATGGAGCTGTATTGCTGCTGATGTCCTTTTCTATAAGGAAATATTCATGGTAGCCTTTAGCCATGAGTGAGAATCAATGCAACAATACCGGTCATAGCTGGATTAGATCTAGAGAAGCATGAAAATGCGTAACTCCATCCTTAGGGGTCATTGTAGCCTAGGACAAGGAAAGGTTTTTCTCTGATAGTATGCATTAAAAAAAAAAGTATATGACGTGAGCTCCTAGTTGGTTGCCAAGGATTATGATTTTTTTCTTTTCAGTGAGTAATGACTTGTATCAAGTCTCAGATTCCAATGAACTCTAGAAATGAAAATTTGTAGTGATTTTTGTGGCCACAGACCCTGATGTGATATGGTGGTGGTTGGTGTGTGTTACCATCAAATCAGATCTGACTGGCACAGAAGGAGACTGTTCCTCTTTCTCCAGTGGAGCATCTGGTAGATTCAAACCACATGCCTTTGACATTGCAGCACAATTTCTTGCCAGTAGGCCACCAGAGCTCCCTGTCTGATCTGATATGAAAAGGGGCCATTAGTGCATCTGTTTGACAGACATTGTTAGCTTTTCAGGGTCCCAGGACAGATGCAAGTAAACAGTTCCTCCTGCTCTCTGTGTGCCTGATAGAGGCAGCCAAGACTGAATAGGGGAACATAGCAATGCTGAACACTTAAACCATTTACTCTACAAGAGAAATCTAAAAATGCATTTATATGGGGGGGGCCTGTTTCTCATATTTATTCTTTCTTCAATTAATTTTACTGCAAAAATATTAACATTGTTATTTCAGCAGCCTTATATATGCACCATATTTTGAAATAGGAAGAAACTGAATTCCAAAACACAGTTGTTGAAGAGTGTTATATGAGAACTGCAATCCTAACCACCATTCTAGAATCAAGCCCCTCCTTATAGAAGAATATATTGGATAAAAAGATCAGGATGATCTTGTGTTAAAATACTGAACCCAGTCAGTTTTGTTTTTTCCTTTAGTTAACAGATAATTATTAAACATAACCATTTTGTCTTTCTAGAATAACTTTGTGACATTCTCCAAACTTGAGTTTGAAGCTTGATATTTACTCTTGGGCCTTGAGCCCCCTCCCACTGTTGCTTAGCTCAGGTGGTAGGTTTCTCTGGCAGGTACAACCAGCCAACAAAGAGATGTCCCCAGAAATGCTTTATTGTCAAAAACTGGGGATGGATACTTGAGGTTGAACTTACTGCTCTCTGATAAAAGTCACAGGACAGTCTTCTGTGACAGTTCTTGTCAGTCTTTAACAAGGTATATAAACTTGACAGTGGGTGAAGATTTAAGAAAACAAATTGTATAATTTTAGGCAAAACATTTTACTGTCCTGGGACATTGGTTTGCTTCAGCTAAGTGTTTGATTATATTGGATTAGATGGGCTCTGAAGTGCCCAGGCACCTGTCACCCCATCTAAAATAATTTTTATTACGCTTTGTGTATTAAAGTTAGAAAGCATTAGGAGGGTCAGAAACAAGGGTCTTTTAATTTGGTTTTGCATTCCACATAAGTGGCAAGGCCAAGGTAGGCAGGTGGGGGGTGTGAACCTCCAGGTCCCTTTCAGTCACAGCATGCTTTGAACAATAAACTTCAGCCTAGCATTTTATTTGGGCGAAAGAAGAAAACAAATCCTTTGGGTTGGACAGATAACCTTCATTTTGCAGACACATGTTAAGAATAACGCTTAGTTCCTGGTCCGGTCCTCTTTCCACTCTTTTTCACTAGCACATATTATTGAAGGTTCACTGAGTACATTCATTTTGTCATAAATTTAGAGTTATAAATATATACCAAAACAGTATATATTATATGACCCAAATGAACATTCTATAATTAATGGTGAAAATGCTCTGGAATGACATTGTCCAGTCAGGTAGCCATTTATCACATGTGTGTATTGAACATAGGGAGATCTAATGGCTTAGTCTATAGGGTGTGCTCACCCAAAGCCCATGACTTAACGGTTCAAATCTACCAGTGACTCCATAGGAGAAATATCCTCCAGCGAAATTGACCATTTCAGAAACTCTCTATAGGGTCAGCCTTAGTGGGGGTATGAAGGCAATGAGATTTGATTATTGAGCACTGAAGTGTTGCGTTTTATATTTTTTAAATCACATTTCCATTTAAAAAAAATGGCCAGTGACTAATGTATGGTTTGATACAAATACAGAATTTTTTATCTTTATGAAGTTGCTAGCTTAGGAAGCGAAATTTCACAAAAAAACAGACTTATTCAACCAAGTTATATTTCAAAGGGCAGTTCCATGGCCTTATGAACTAGATAAATAGAAAATAGGTAAATAAAATAAATAGAAAATAGGTAAATAGAAAAAGTTCTCCACCGGTGGATGAAGGAAATTATGGTGGGAAGAAAATCACCCTTTTCTGCTCATTTAGAGTGACCTAACCTGGGGAACTTGGGCTTCCACCACTGAAGGGTTTCCTGGCGGTTCAGAATTCGGGGGAATTGGCAGCAATCATGCTTTCATGATGGTGTATTTGGATTTGTATATGATTCATCCCACCCACCCTAAGGCCTGAGGCAGATAGCACTGGTTCCATAAAATTTACTCTAAAAGGCAAAAAAATAACCCACAGTGCATCTGTATTTTATCTGAATTTGTGCAGTCTTAGAGAATTCCTTTTCTAACCTATGTCTCAGTCACCCACAGAAGTCAGTCATTTTTGCCTGATTTGAGCCCGTATTCTCTTACATGGAGAAACCACCCAAAATTACAGTCAGATGCATACGTATTTTTCCCCCTTTTAATGATTTTTGTTTAAACAGAAAAGCCGGTTAGTTGATGTCACTCATACAAGGAAACCTTTCACCAGAAAAGAAGCCGTGATGAGAGAGTTGGTTGAATGCTGTCACAGTGCAGCAGCTATTTGCTTTGGGTCTGATCCACAGTGGAATCTTTGTAAATAAGCTGTTAATAGAGCAATAGATGGCACTCTGAGGTTTTCTTTTGTTTACAAGCACTGATGCACAAGATTGTAAAATTGACTAAATACCTTGCTTCCTTGTAGTGTGGTTTCTTCAAGAGAAATAAGAAAAGTCATTATGATGCCACATATCACAAGGCTGAGATCCATGCTCAGCCGTCTGATAAAGAGAGGCTTACTTCTGATGCATAGTATTGATCTACTTCTGTAATTGGTAAATCGATTGATGTTTTTTAATTGCTAGCTGTGGGACCTGCTGTGGTTGTGGTGGCTAACTTTACGAGCAACAGCTTGCTGTGTGTGTCCCATTAACAGATATGTTTCCAAATGTCCACACTGGCTTGCCTGGCTTAGATTCATTTATTACACTTGAAAGCTGATGATCGTTTCTTTTAATGTACAGAATTTTGTGTGTGTGTGTGTGTGTGTGTGTGTGTTTTCAGGTGAGTTGTTCTGTGGTGTTTTTGTTGTTGCACATTGCCCACTGCAGTGAACAAAATATCCTTGTACACACAGACCGAGACTTTAGACCTCCCCATAGTCGTTTGCCACACGTGGTTCAATCTAGTCATGTAGCATCCCACTTGGAATTTCAAAGATGCATAAGCAATCAGTCCAGGTTCCTTGTCCATTTTGAAATTTCCCTCCAACAGAAGCTTGTGTTGACTGCGTAATTAACCTGTTGCATGTTGGAAACATTGTTTCTCTTGATGATGTGGCTTTCTCACTGTCTTTTTTGATCTCTTTGTCTTTGCCATTAAGTGTTGGGGATGCTTGGAATGCTTTCATTGTTGCTCAGAAACTCCTTTTCCAGCTAAGCATGTACCGTCCTTTTCCTGCATATCTACAGCAGGTCAAAAACCATTACAACAAATTAAGACTATCAGCATGATAGAGATCATGGCCAGCTTCAGGTGATAATCCTCTAACCTAAGGAACCTTCAGTACACAAAATTCTAGTGCAAAACGTGCCCTGACAGCTTTTATTTCAGTACGTTGTAATGGAGTTTGACCTTGTTTCCTTTTCCTGGAAATTTTATGCAATCTTGGGGTCTCAGTTGATTTCAAGTTCATATTTTGCCCCTCTATTTGTAAAATCCATGGAAACAGGAATTGGTGTTGATTCCTTTTTCCATTATGTGGAAATGAAAATGGAGTGAGTGACTTGGCAGTGCCTTTCCATGGCACTGTTAGGATGAATCCCAGCACTGCCATTGTCATTTCACGGAGCACCCTCCATTTCCTTCTTTGTTCAAGTGGGACAGCAGTCACATTTTGTAATCAATAGGTACTTTGGCACTTTTGCACAGAAAAAGAAATGAGTGAATATAGAAGTGACCCAAGAACAAAATTTCATGGCCCATCTTGCTTACTGTTTTAGCAATAACTGTGCACAAAGTTTTATTTTGCCCTCTGGCCTTTTTTTTACATAACACCATTCTTCATAACATCATAAACTTCTCAGTCAGCCATTCTAGTTATCTTCCTCATCTAAATTTTGTTTAGCTGCATTTCTAAATCGAAAATACCTGAAAAATCATTTGTATATGTTATTTATCAAAAAATATTCAATCTGGTTAAAATATGTTCTGTAAATACCTACTTTGGGTCAAATTGAATAGTTTTCATGAAAAAGCATTTATCTTCATTAACAATTTAAACATAAATAATGTATTTTTCAAAAAGGATGAATCAGAGAGTATTCTGAACTTAAGTGCAAGAGCATCTCCTCCTAGGAGATACATGACTGATTCTATCAAAGAATAGTTATTAAATTACTTACTCATAAAGAAGTTTAAATCAGAAGCATGTATGCAAATAGAGGCAAAGTAAATGACATTTTTAGCTTGGCTAAAGAGAGATGTGATGTGTATACTAGAGTCTCAGGTAAGAGATGGGGAAAATACTTAAACTGACCCTTTCAGTTGAACACTGGCATGTTGAAATAGTAACATTTCAACTATCTAAGGCCTGATTTCCCTTTTATTAGTAAGCAGGGACCATGATAGAATCTTGGGTTTAAATCTTTACAATTTTGTTCTTAAAATGATAGTCTAAGAATCAGAAAATTAGATATTTTACATATAATGCCGTTATTAAAAAGGAAGTAGGACTTCATGAATTCTCAAATTTTTAGTGACCAAGGAGCTTACATTATTATAAAAATGTGAAGACAAGAAGAAAAATGAACTTTTTCCCATTTTTGGAGTGATTCATTTCTCCCTTTATCCCTGTTGGCTGTTAGATTTTTATCATCAGACCTATCAGTTCATTCTTAAAAGAAAACCATGTGTTTGATTTAGTCCAAAAGTAGGCATGGCTGAACAGACAGCTTAGACTTTCTCACCGATGCCACCTGCTTTTCCTGAGGTTGATTAATTTTTGTTTCTCTTTCCCTGTGCCCAGTGTGGGTTCTTTAAACGCTCTAGGTACGATGATAGCGTTCCCCGATACCACGCTGTAAGGATCCGGAAAGAAGAGCGAGAGATCAAAGATGAAAAATACAGTAACGACAACCTGGAACGAAAACAGTGGGTCACCAAGTGGAATGAAAATGAAAGCTACTCTTAGGGGAGCCCCCAAAGCTCCACGGTACCCAAACTGCTTTCCACCCCAATCCTAACAGACATTCAGGTGGATTTGAAGACCCTCCAATACCTGAATGTTGGTTTCAGCTGACTACAAGCAGTACGAACCCATAGTTTTTAACTGTGGATATTGTTACGTAGCCTAAGGCTCTTGTTTTGCACAGCCAAATTTAAGACGGTTGGAATGGATTTTTCTTTCACTGCCTTAATTTAACTTTCCAGGTTGCTTTTCATTGCGGTGTGGCCAATATAACACGTGCTAGGGGCAGGGCCTGCTCTCGTGACATCCTGTTGTGAATGTAGTTGGAAGGAGACACCCACAGCCTCCGCTTGCACTTCTGCACCCTCTACAAACATTCTGCCCGTGGGATTGGAGAACTTGCAAGTCAGCCGGCCCACATCACAAGACTCTGTTGCCAGGGTAGTGGAGTTTGGATTTAAAGCGCGGTCTTAAATTAAATGTGCAATAGAAGGTGATGATGCCATCCTGCCATCTTTTTCCGTTTCCTAAATGTGTGAGTGCGCACTCACACCAGATGCTTACAGGCTGCGTTCTCTCATTTCACTAAAACCCATGAGAACAACAGATTTGAATGCTAGTTATCCTTATGTGTATATAGTTAGCTCTGGTATTTATTATTTTTGCAAACCATTTTGACAGGCCAAAGATTCTCCAATGGACCCTTTGGGTGATTTAAGCAATCAGAACTAGGACATGGGAGGTCAGTGGTTTGACCTAAAATTATGTACTGCAAAAAGAAAATACTAATTCTTGATAAATATACTAGAGAGTTCTTATAGTAACTTAAACTTACCTGTAAATTAAAACATCTCCTTCGATACCACCCTGTTCCTCCAAGCCCCTTAAAAGGTTTGTCTAAGAAGTGGGATAAACGGTAAGCTTTTTCACTCGTACCAGAAATTGGATATTTTGGAGTTTAAAGCTATGCATGGATTTCTGAATTCCATGCTCTCTGACTTTCAGGAACTCTTGGAGAGAATGGCTTTGTTCATTGAGCTCTAAGGCCTTTCACTCACTGCAGCAAATACTGTCTTTTCAGGACTTGAAAGACTGAGTGAGTGTCTCTGGTGGGTCCAACTGAACCATGTTAAGACTACTGACTATCTTATTACCAAAGCAGTGATTCGGGATAGATGAGATACATCCTGACATTTTTTAGTATTTAAATGTTCTTAGAACCATTTAGTGTTCTATTTTAGTTTCATTTTATTGCCTGTCTTCCCCTCTCCTGTATTCCCAAATCGGCTTTGGGACTACTTAGATAAGAATTTGTTTAATTGGAGATGGGGTGGGGGAGGGGAACACAGTTATTCTATACAATCAGTTGAGTTTGAAAAGAGATGAAAGCTGGGTTTTGGTTTTGGTTTTCTTTTAAAAACTGTGCTTCGAAATGTTAAGTTATATGGGGAGCAACAGCAAACAGGTGCTAATTTGTTTTGATGTAATATAAGAAATGCCTCAATCTTTTAAAAGCGCAAAATATAGCTATATGTGCCACTCTAGCTTTAGAGTTTAAATTACTTTTTCTTTTCAGAAATCTTAACACCCTCAAGATACTAAGGACATTATTTTGGTTGTACTTTTTATTCATTTACAAAAATAGCTTATACAAATGATACTTTGTTTACAAAAATGTCCTCAAAAATAGGGTCATAACAGTATTTAAAACCTCAGTTTCTTGTTGAGCTAACCGAGACTATTGCACTAGTTTTGTGGGTTAGGAAGAAGCTAAGATTTTGACAGTGTTTATGGACCTTTGTTATAAAAGTGAATGTCCTATGAAGCAGGGAGGGTTGATAATAAGTTCAGCAAAAAAGAAACAAGAATGTTGTGGCATTTGAATTTAGAGTTGTTAAGACATCATCTCAAGTCAAGTCACTGGTCTGTTTGCATTTGATACATTTTTATACTAACTAGCATTGTAAAATTATTTCTTGAATAGAGCATACCTGTGGATATTTGTATAAAAGTGTGAAATAAAATTTTTTAAGAAAATGTTCATTCTAAATACACAGCATTGTATATGTGAAACAAACTCTAAAATTATAAATAGTAACCTGAATTGCCTTTCTTTTCATTTTATGAAACCATACTAAAATTTGCATTCAGAGTACTGAATGGTTTGACACGTTTTTATTACTTTTGTTGTTAGGTGCCGTGGAATCAGCTATGACTCCAAGCTCAGCTGCAGATCTGAACCTTGCCCTCCCTATCCTGTACCATCCCCATTATTTCTGATATGCTGTAGTCCAGTGTTAGTCACTGTATCAGTCCATCTTGTTGAGGTCTTTGTCTCTTTCATTGACCTTTCCCACCATGATGCTTCTTTCCAAAAACTGGCCCCTTCTGACAACATGTTTAAAGGATGAGATAAACCATCTTTGCTTATAAGGAACACTGCAATATCCCAGGCATTCTTGGATCAACCACAATTACTAGTGCAACATAACTGAAGTATTTTGAACATAACAAAAGTATTTTGAACTCCACTGTTTGAATATTTACTGTCCCTTCTTTATAAAGAAAATGGTCTTGAAGATTTAAGATAAACAAATTGGTAATTTTGTGTGTACTGACCTTTCTGCTTTTAGGTCTGTGAAGAACAGAATATTGTGTCACAGTGTTAGCATGACATGAAGAATATTTTTGAGACCTCCTTCCTTTCTTGCTGCCTTTAGAACACATTTTTTGATGTGAGAGCAGCCCAGCTATGATCCATATCCTTATGCCACTCACTAGCACTGGTTTGGCAGAATTGACTATCAGAAAATATTTTCTTCACCAAAGACTTAATTTCTGTTTAATTGGTTTTATGTAACTTGTCTGGCTAGATTATCACAGTGTAATAAAAGGAAGCTTGCCTTGACCTGAATTAATTTCCAAACCAAGTTGTATTTGTGAGAGGATTTGAGAGTAGATAATCGTTTCTCACTGATACGGCATAATAAGACGTGGTCTTGGCTCTGTAGAGGTCAGAGGGGTGTTGCTACCCAAAGTAATGAGTGGGACTTTTTATGTTTTGGGCCTGAAACTTTTTAAACCGGAGTTCATATATCCAGTCTCATCACTATACTCAGAATTTAATAAAATCTGAGAAAGCTTTGTTTGGAAAGAAATTATAATAATCATTATGATCATTAAGAAGCCTATCAGGATACAATCAAATACCTCATAGGATTTGGTGTCTTAAGTTGGAGAGTTATGATTTTATGGTGCATCCCAGTTAGTCAACCTCACGTGGTAATTACTACTTTTGTTCTACCTTCTAATTAATTGCATAGTTCTTGGGGTCCTAAAAACCTATATAAGGCTATCCCACATACAATGAGGAGTCTGTGTTCACTTGGAGCAGAGAAAGAAGGAAAATCAAGACTAAGGGGAAGAAATTACAACTACCACTAATAAACATTTTGACCAAAAACTCTAGAAAAACCCCTTTATCAAATGATCAAAAGAGGTGGTGGGTTACAATAATTTCAGTTTACCAGTAAAAAGTGACACCAAGATTGGAAGAAGACTCATCAACAACCTGCATTATGCAGATGACACAACTTGCTGAAACAGGAGAAGCTGAAGCACTTGCTGCAGAGGGTCAAAGACTGCAGCCTTTACTATGGATTGAAGCTCAACATCAAGGAAATAAAAGATTCTCACCACTGAGCCGATTAGCAGCATCATGATGGATGATGAAGAGATTGAGATTGTTAACACCTTTAATTTGCTTGGCTCCACAATCAACACTCTTGGTATCAGCAGCCAGGAAATCAAAAGATGAATTGCTTTGGGAGAGTCTGCTGTCAGGGACATTTCTAGAGTACTGAAGAGCAACAATGTCAGTCTGAAGGGTGCCTGATCCAGGCCATAGTCTTCGAAATTACATACTATGCATCAGAAAGCTGGCTAATTATTAGGGATGGTAGAAGGAGAATTGATGACTTTGGGGCCAGAGAAGAGTATTGAATATATCATGAACTGCTAAGAGAACAAACAGGTTCGTCCTGGAGAGGGTGAAACCAGGCTGCTCCTTGGAGGTAAGGATTCTAAAGCTCCATCTGACTTTGGGTATGTTGCAAGGAGGGACAAGTCCTTGGAGATGGACATTATGATTGGGAGTGTGGAGGGACAGTGCAGGAGGGGAAATCACTCTATAGATGAATTGACTTAGTGACTGGAATAATGGGGGTCAGTGTATGGAAGACAGTAAAATTGGCTCAAGATAGAGCAGGGTTCTTTATTCCCTGTTGGTGGAAGTGTAAACTGGTGCAACCACTGTGGAAAGTGGTGTGGCACTTTCTCAAAAAGTTGTAGATAGAGATACCATTTGACCCAGCAATTCTGCTACTGGGAATATACCCCAAAGAGACCATAACTGCCACCCAAGCAGATATATGCACACCCATGTTTATCGCGGCTTTGTTAACAATATAAAAAAGTTGGAAACAACCCAAGTGCCCATCAGCAAACAAATGGATAGAGAAGCTGTGGTATATTCACACAATGGAGTACTATGCTGCATTAAAAAACAATTCATGCAATATTATTCAAAAATGGGTGACCCTGGAGGACATTACACTGAGTGAAATAACTCAGTCATAAAAAGGACAAATACTGCATAGTGCCACTGTTGTAAAACAAGACTGATATCGGGTTTAAGGGGGAGACTGAGAAAGATGGGTTTAATAATGTATACTGCATTGGAACAGATGAGAGGGAAAACTCTTTAAAAGGGATATGTGATTACGTATTGTCATGACAGGAGTCCAGAACAAAGGCTGCGTAGTGGAGTGGACTTGGGAGGAGGGATTGTACAACAATGAAAGAATTTTTCTTCTCTGGAGGGGAGGAGGGGAAGGGAGAAAAGTGCAGCAATGAATGAATGAATGAAAATCCAAAGTCTGTGTATTTTCATTAAAATTAATAATTTAAAAAGCAGGATTCGGGGTTGTACATAGAGTCACTGTGAGATACACGTGACTCGACGGACCATTTCAACAACTAATAGAAATGTCTTCTCGAGCATGTACTCCTAAAGAATTTGGCATCAAACGGACAACAGCAACATGAAAGAACAGATTGGAAACAGGGCAGTTTGTTAATGGAGGACAAATAATTAGGTAAAAGGGTGGAAATGGTTACACAACTTGAATGTAATCAATGTCCCAGACTTGTGCATGCAGAAATTGTTGGATTGGTGTATAGTCTGGGTTTATTTTCAATGATAAT